TGCACGTCCATAAGTCGTCATACGCTTTTTGGTGGGTCTAATGGCAACATTTATTTGAGGCCACGACTAGGGGCACACCCCATATTTACTACGGGCACACCCGCCCGCACAAAATGATAAAAAGGACTTCACATTTTGCAGTGCAGAATACCATACAAATACGTAGTCACTTACTACTGCTCCCTATCTTATACGGCAGATCCACTCATTCGCGAGATTCTATCAATCCATCTTATCCAGGGCAGTATCCAAACGGGTAATGCCTGCTGGGATCTCTACTGTCTCGAACACACGGTATTCGATCCAATGGTACGAAATACGATCCAATGGTTCGATGCCAAGATCTGACCATCGGCAGTGGCAGCGACATCCGAGTTTCTACGTGCTCACAGTCACGAGTCGTTTGTAGCCGAACCCCACATATTCTCACGAGTCGAGAGCGTAAAGTCGTCGCGGACTTTGCCAAAGATCTCTACATGACACACGCCGCGAACGTGGAGATACTTCTGCAAGCGTAAAACAAACTTCGCGCGTGGCAGGAGGCACGCAAGTCGAGAAAGTTTCCAATTGGACGTTCGGGTATTGCGGGCAAAGTGTGGTATGGCTTGCACGAGTCGCCGACGTTTCGGCGTGGCGCGTGGAACAACGAGGAAGACACAGCGGTTCGACGGTTGGCCACGGGACAAGAAGACCCGAAACTGGTGAAGAAGTGGCACGAGATTGCAAAGCGCATGCCAGTGCCGGAAAGACCAGCAGCTCATTGTCTTACTCGGTACAAGACAGCGCTGGACGCGGGAAACACGCGGTCAACCTTTACGCCAGAAGGAGAGTAGATCCTGCGTGAAGCTGTCCCGGTCTTTGGCGAAAAGTGGAACGTGGTTGCAGATTTGATGGACGGCCGTGTGTCGGAGCAGATCCGCCATCGATGGCAGCTCTCGCTTGCACCAGGTCTTCGGTGAGGCAAGTTTTCGCTTAGTGAGGATCGACGGCTGCTACTCGCACTTCGTGCACACGTGCCAAAAGGCAGTGAGTCCAATCAGGATCAGGTGCCGTGGAACGACATTTGTCATCATGTGCCCGGGCGAACGCAGCCAGCGCTTCGGGGCCGATACGTTAATTGCATCAACCCGAACTTGTCGTCCCGTAAGTTCACCGAGCAGAAAGATGGCTCATTCTTACAAGATAGCGCGAGTGGGGCGTCGAGTCGCCCAGACTCGGGCCGCGGCTTGCTGCTGAGCTAAGTGGCCGCACGAAATCTCAACTGTGTCAATGCTGAAGACAATTGGATCCAGACGCTTATGACGAACGTTGTCGCGCCCTGATTGATGCAAGCAAAAGCCATACAACAGCCGTCTTCTGTCGCCGGTCAATACATCAACATGAATCTTGCTTTGGGAAGAAACACACAAAGCGTAGTACGTACAATGGTATCACAGTGGAGCAAGTAGCAACCGAGTCGTTTCCGCGAGGTCGTGCAGCTTTAGTGCTGCATAGTTTCAAAGAGTTGGAAGTCCTTTTTATCATTTGAGGCAGTCGGGTGTGCCCGTAGCAAAAGTGGGGTGTGCCCCTAGTCGTGGCCTTATAAAATAGCACAGCTAACCCAACATCACGTCGTGAAGAAACATTCGTGAGCGTTACCCGCAATAATAATAGCACAACCGACAATACCGACCTCATTTCATGTGACGGGATCATTTCGTTGCAAGGGGAACCCTGTACTATTCCAGGGTAGGGCAGCTTGCTGCCTGTAGACAAAGCTTGGTGCCTCGTCATAGATAACAACTTGTTTTTGTTACCGAAATTACCCGTAAGACGATATAACCCTTACGTTTTGCTTTTCGCATCGTTTAACATCAAACTAAATGGTCACGTCAATCAACGTCTATCCCGTCATTCGGTCAGAGCGGCTGGCGCAAAAGAAGAAAAAGATATTGATCTAAAAAGAGAAGTAAATGGATCCCACAAATTACGTCGCAGACAAGTCGATCTTCGGGTATCAGTGACAGAAATATCCCCTCCACTTAAAGCCCGACGGTCGTGACGCGCGCGTGAACAAATGAACTGTCACATTTTGTGCAGCCGCATTCAGCCGTTTTCAAATGTTTGACGCTCAACATTAGCAACGCTACCAATCGACGAAGAGCGGTTGCGATACCCTCTTTCTGCGTCGCCAATCGTCCCTCACGCACGAAGCGAATTGATTGCTGACAGCGGAGTCATCACTGGTCATTTTACGCGTCGCCGCATGAAAGAGACATCACAATGCACACACGTACCATCTGCAGTGATCCTCTCGGAGCTTTGTAAGGCCGACTTTTCTGCAGCGATGTGTGCTGCCCAAAAGGTTGAGCTTCGGGCTATCGTTCCCAGACGGAGATTTGTCCCAGATTCGTCCATGTGGATGCGATCCGGAACGGACCGTCCAATGGCCACATATCTTGCGGTCTTGATCGGACCGTCCACTCGCTACATATCGTGCGATCCAGAGAATGGCTGACGTGGCCCGCACTGCAATCAGACGACGGCCTTGTTCAGGTACGATGCACGTATACCGCACCAAACTTGTCGCCTTGTCGCGGTTTGACGACACAAGCACTCTTTGGTGAAGTGTAAAGATCCTAATGATTTGTCTAGTGTTGTCCGCCCGTCGTTGCTGTCGAAGCCCAGATAGTCCTGACGACGTGATATGCTTCGCCACCCTATGGGTCCAGAGAAACCGATGGGTGTACAAGCACGAGGAAACAACAGTCGATCAAGCCGAATCGGAACTACGTCTCACACTGCTTCGACAGCTCCAAGCTGTAGCGGTCAGGGATCACCGATCTAACCGGGACGGGGACGACTATATATTTTTCCGGCTAGCGACGGAACTGTTTCGAGCTCCGGTTACTCCGAGGCCGGTTACTCGATATGAACCGGAAAGGCAGCTCACATCACCGGTAGGGTGCTCGAGCGGCTAGAGACTTTTCAGCTATCTTGTAAACCGTAAAGGTATAAAGACAGACTGTTACTCTCTCTCTAGTCCTTACGACGTGCAATGTCGGCGCCTTTTCAATGCATAGAGCGCACCTCAACCGAACGAGTGGTGGTATCTGCTGGTCAATTGTAAGAACGCGAACGACACGGAACACAGACGCGTCAACACGAGCAAACGTTGCTCAGCCAATATTGAGTCCACCTAACATAGCGTTTCCATCGCGCCGGAGTGGAGGTGCCGTTGCTAAGCGCTTCAGCGTCTGGGTATAGCAGGCATGGGCGCGGCAAGTTATATACCGAAGGCACTTCGTGGCGGACGATGGCACAGAATCGAAGCGAGCACTCTTGGAGATGGGGTCATGACCATCGAGTATACGGGAAAGCAGCTTGCCACGTGTGGATGGGCTCGGCGACACCGCACTTTAGGGCGAGATGTGCCGACAGTCGAGTATACCTGCTGGTGTTAGGCATACGCCACCATCATCAACGTCAAGGCTGATGGACGGTTACGCTGGGTTTGAATCTCAGCTTGCATGTCGTCTCATGCCTCTGTGTGGCGCTAGCAATAGCATGTTCAGCAGACGCCTCACGCCCGCATGCAACGGTTTATGATCCACTCTAGTATGCACAATCCTTGCGCAAGCTATCCTCACCATCACCGAATGCTGGCGTCGTTCGCTCCATAAGATCAGGCTCAAGCGTTAGACCAAACGCAACAGTGAGCTCGGAATAGCCAGTTGCAAAGACAAAGTGGTATGCGGATAATGTGCTCAGCGTGTTCAGTCTGTCGAACCACGCTCTAGACCCAGTGGACCAGGTGGATACAGAAGCAAGAGGGAGCAAGCACAGACCACGATATAGCGGAAGATCCACACAGTCTTCGTTACCCCTTTCGGGCTGCTACGATCACCACGAAGCAGCGACAGGGCCGGGAAGGAAGCAATAATCTTTCTTACGCCTTGCTACAGAGACGATCCGGGAAACCACCACTGATCGGCAGCCAGAAAGGCATGTCCCAGGTGTTGTGATCAGTACGCCTCGGCATGAATTTTCGCACAAGAGCCGGTAGCTCAAGTGGTATGGTGTGGCAGCACCACGCGAGAGGCCTCGGTTCGACATCCAGTGATTGCAGAAAAAAGTTAACACCTTCGGGTACTGGTGTGCCGGGGTTCCCCAGCACTGTCCTGCCAGACAGTGACGCCCCCCATGTTTCGTACGTTTAGGTGCTTGTTAGAAAGACTCTGTCTGCATTAGAAACGTGCGACTCGACGAACAGTAATGCGCGACCAGACGATTACTAACGTAGAGTCAGAGAGAACCCAGTGGGCTTTGAGTAGCAACAGGAGGTTGTGAGCTAAGGACCTAAATGTATCTTTACTGTGCATTTTGCAAAACTTCGATCACTTTCTTTACCAGGTAGGCGGCAAGAGCCCGTCCAGTGACTAGGGACTTTACAGAAAGCTTGTGAATCGTACAGGTGAAAAGCCAGTCTGCCTTTCTTTCTCTTCCCCTCTCTCTCTCTCTCTCTCTGATCGCGTGGCTCGAGACCACACGTCTATCAAGGGATAGGCGATGGCGTTGCAACGACAAGAGGAAAAAGATGACGACCCTCGTTGCGACGCTCGTTGCACATGAGCAGCCAACGACATGCGATCGGCCACCACAACGAGACTAGGGTTAGCGCTGTGTAGACTCTTGAGCCCTTGTCGATCGTTTGGCAGCTCGATTGGCTCCAGTGTTTCGGTCATTCCGCAATTCTCACGCCTCCCCCCAAACGACCACCACGAAAACACTCAATGATGCGTCTCTACCACTGCTACTACTGCATTCTCCTCCTGCCTTCTGCTGCTATCACTGGCGTGACCGCCAACTCCTTGGAACGATTCGATTCAAGGGTCACTCCACCAGCTAACGCTCGTGACGTCGCTGGACAACGCGGCGGCGTTCTTGTCACTCGAATGTTGAGGGTGCAGGAAACAATCGATACTGAACAGAGGATGATCAGTACTGGGGCACTTTCCAAGATGAAGACCATGCTCGGTCTCGTTGAATCGGACACGAATAAATTGCTCACCATTGCAAAGGCCCATACACTGAGTCAGCAACAAAGTGCTTCCAACGCAGATCGCGCCATCGAATTTTTGACAGCGCTGACCGACAAAAATCTGGGCCTCTTCAAAAAACATCTTGTGAAGACGGTTAAAAAGCGTAAACAGCCCGAGGAGTTGGACGCCGACACATTGGTGGCCAAGTTTTTAGTGACTTCGTTTGGCGACGAGACGCTGGCAAAGGCGTTCGTAAAGCTAGGCGATGCGGATGGGCTTCTGGCAGCGTCAAAAGTACGAAGCATGGTGTTCAGAAAATGGGCTGCAGAAGGCAAGAAACTGAAAGACATCATCCCGTTGTTAAAGGTTACTGACGATGTCGAAATCTTTGAACCCCAAGTCACGAACTTCCTGCTCAAGTTCGGCAAGGAAACCGAGGGCCCAGATTTCCTCATCTCGGACGTAAACGAAGCTATGCTCAGGCATTGGGGTGGCAATTACGCCAGGTATATCTCTGGTATTCTGCGATGGGAGGCGAAGCAAGGCGGTGCGGCTAAATTCACTGCTGGAAGTCGATACCACTGGGCGTTATCAGACTTAACGCAATATCCAACTTCACCAGATTCGCTAGTTAATAATTTGAAGATTATTCAAGGGCAACATTCCTATCTCAGGGATGGCGAATATTTACATCTCACGGACGACCAGCTGAAGAAAGTCGGAGAGGATTATGCTCATGTTCTAAAACTTGTCAGCGGCGATCCGGTTTGATATTTGAAGGTTTTTTCAGATATTGCGAAACGCGCGAGCTCGTAGCAGGATGTTCTTGATAGTAGGTAAAGTAGCTAATACATTTCATTCTGTTTGAAATATGCGTACTTGTGATGTGTCTTTGGTGGGACCACGACAACGATTGCAGAGCGGAAGAGCACATCTGCGTACTGCTCTAAAGCGTAGACAAATAGATTATTCTCTCGCTCTAGACAATCCTAGATTGTCAACATTGCTATAGCTCTGCCAGGTCCGTCTTGCATAACGCGTTTGCTTCCTGCACCGTCAAGTCGCGCAGCACCACTTGCTTTTTCGTGCCTGAATAAAATGTCCAACAACACCGAATTCTCAGTCCTGACATTTGCTCGCGGCATAGCAAAAACATGACACGAGTAAACTCATTTGACATCGACACGAATTTGATTTCCGTCAAGTTCGGACATGCATAGCAAGTGTGCACTTACAATTATGACAGTGCAGCTCAGGTATTCATTGAACTAAGATCCGCTTTATTACGAGTCTAAAGGATGGTCGCTACCTACGTTACTCGGGTATTACCTTTTGTCTCATGTACGAAAGCCTTCAGCTGTGCAGGCATCATCGATTGGCGTTTCGTTCATCGTCATGAGATCACTTGGACCTCGTCAAGGTTCTTACTGTATCAATTATTTACCTACCCAACTAGACTGGCCAGGTGTCGACGTATGTGGTAAAGAAAATTACGGGAGCTTCGGACAGCGACACCATGTCGATCCGATGAACAAGTATTGTCATTTTCTCCACTTCCTTCCAGATTCTCGAGCTTGCACAGAGCAAGCTTATACAGTATCGTTGTGGACGATTTTATGCCGAAGCTGTACAGTCCATTTTGCGCACGTCTCGACCAACCTGGCGCTACATAGCCGCCCACTTCATCATGTGTCACTTTACGACGTCTCGCAGTTACCATCCAAAGCTACCATCGGGTCGGTTTCCGTAGTCTAGCTGCGACGTGGTCGTAACGTCGGTCCGGCGATCTGCTTTCATTCGGTGTGAGATCAAGGATTACGCAGGTAGCCAGATTTGTTGGATGGTGCACTGGAACATCTCACGTTGTGGTCTTCGCCCAACTGCTCGAACCACTGCCGAAACACGTTTCCCGCCAAATTCTTGAGCTGAGGAGCAGCGAATATGTGACGAACTGCGAGGGCAGTGCCAACAACAGAATACAAGTCGTCATCCTGTGTGATATGGAAGCGTAGACCGCTTGTCGGCGGTGGCCATCGGGGTCAACCGTAACGTTTGATGTGATCCAGACTGTCGGGTTTGCGAGCAATACATAATGGCGCTGCGACACATGTACGAACGCATCGCACATGAGTACGATGCACACGCCTGGTCATGCATGTCGAGTGTTACGCGAGCGCCCACACCCATGCAACGCCTCGAAATGGGCTCACTGACACAGCGGTCGGTGCTCAAATGACGAGATATGGCGGGACAACTGACCACCACTCGCCCGTCCACAAACCGAGTGGACCTGGACGAAACGCAACGGTCTTTATACCGAGAAGCACGTCTTGGGAAGCGCGTAGACGGAATGGGAGGCGGACGCACTCTCGCACGTCCGCCTTACCAAGGATAGTATGTGGTAAGGTCATAGGACCAGCGATCGTTCGCACAGGGATAGCTGACAAGATTATCCGAAGCAACACCGGCGGTAAAGCAAAACACCTGCAACGCGAATCAGCGTCACAGGACACTTGTTATAAACCACTGCAACAACAACTCGCGTTTGCTTTTAGTGTGCTTCCACGTCGTGTGCACCGCCTCTTATCAGTCGACCTTGGGAGCCTTCTTACGCTGCCGCAGCTTCTGCTGCTTATCGTCACTGTCCACAGCCTTGACGTCCGTCTTGACCTCGTCTTCCGCACCGCTCTCGACCTTCTCGTCCTTCACTCGCTTCGGCGAACCTGAAGCGCAGCACAAGAAGAAAAAGCCAAGCATCGCCAGTACGGACACGCCAATGATTGACCCGAGGGCGATCACGGGGTTGGCGTTGGCGTACGTGGCAAACTTGGCCGCAAATGACTCCAGCGTCTTCATCACACTGTTCTCGACAACGCCGTCACTCTCCTTTTCGACACTCGCGCTTGCCTTGACTTCTGCTGCGTGCTTTGGGCCCCACGTCAGCGCTGCAAACTCTTGGGCTTTCTTCAAGTCATTGCCAAGCCAAAAGTTGTCAAACGTAATCCCTTCCGTCATCGTCCACACCTCCACGGCCAGAGCGTCGATGGGGTCCATACGTGCCGGGTGTGCATCTTCAAAGTAGTCCGGGTTTGGGACTTTGCGAGCCTTCCACTCGCCCTTGTAGGCCGGATTAGGAATGTACGGGGCGTAGAACTTCCCCTTGTAATTCGGATTCGCTTTCGTTGGCCGTTTCCACTCACCACACCCAGACACGGAAGCACACTTTGGGTTGGCAATCTGCGGCACGACAAACTCCCCGTCGTCCTCATCATCCCAATCTTCTGGCTTGACCACATCCGGGTCATCAATCATCGCAGCTTCGTCATCCAGCCAATCGTCAGGCTTGACTGCGTCCTCGTCCACGACACGAGCCGGCGCATCTTCGTCCCAGTCGTCCGGCTTCACCGCATTTGGATCCCGAATCTTCTTCTCGTCCACCCAATCACTTGGCTTCGAGTCCGCCGGGTCGTCAATCTCCTTCTCCGGCATCACAGCAGGCATGAAATCCTGCAACAGACTCCCGCTCTTGACCGACTCCTGGTCGACAAACACCTCAAACGAGTTGTCGTCGCGGACTACGACCGTGTACACGTGCGTGTCCTCGTCGTCCTTGATGCGCGGCGCGTCCATCATCTGCTTCTCCTCGTACACGCCCGTCACGGGGTTCTTGTGCTGGAAGATCAAGTGCACTTTGTCACTGGCGCCGCACTTGTCGGGACCAAACATCAGCACAAACGGCGTCGAGTCGCTAAAGCTCGAGTAGTCGGGACGCGGCTCGACCTGCCGCAGCAGCTTCACGTACGCGCCGCCGCAGCTCAAGCCCTTTTGCAGCTTCACCTCGTACTGCACGACGAGCTCCGTCTTTCCCTCGCTGCCGTCCACGTGCAGTGGCTCGTCCAACTTCACTGCGAGTCCATAGTGACGCGCCGGCGTGCTCAGCACGAGCCCGTGGTCGGGCGCCGCAGCGTCCGTCGCCATCGCGTCAATGCGCACGTCCTGGCCCGCGTACTTCTCGTGCGCGCTCTTGAACCAGCGCGAGTCGGCCAGCTGCGTCGCTGCTTCAAACGTCTCGACAAAGAGCGCGCTCGTTGCCAGCGCCTGCAGCTCTTGCGTCGACCGCTCGGCCGTCGGCTGCGCGTCTTGACCGGCACCTGCGGCGTCCGTGTGCTCCTGCGCGGCAACAAACGGCGCGAGCAGAGCCGACGCAACGGCCACGTTGACGAGGACTTTCATGCCGTTTCCCTTTCCGTTTCCCTTTCCCTTTCCGCTTCTCAGTGCGCAAATTCTCGAATGCACTCTCAGGGCGGCGGACACGTACTGCGTCCCGTGGGGCGGCGTTGACGGGACTTTCAGCGAATGACCGACGAGGTTCACATCGACGACGTGTGATTGGACAAAACGAGGCGACCGAGGGGGCCTCGCCCCGCGCGCAAAGATCGATCGACGACGCAGTATGGACGCCACGCGACAGCGCACGCAGCGCCCCATTGTGACGGGCACGTCGGTGATCGCGCTCAAGTACAAGGGCGGCGTCATGATGGCGGCGGATACGCTGGGATCCTACGGCTCGCTCGCGCGCTTTACCGACCAGCGCCGCCTCACGGGCGTCCACAATACGACGCTATTGGGCGCCGGTGGGGACTTTAGCGATTTCCAGTTTATCCAGGACAAGATGGACGAGCTCGAGGTGTACGACTTTAACCAGGAAGACAAGTGCGATCTGACGGCGCCCGAGATCTACCACTACCTCCAGCGGCTCATGTACCACCGTCGGAACAAGTTTGACCCGCTGTGGAACACAGTCGTCGTGGGCGGTCTGCACCCTGAGACGCACAAGCCGTTCTTGGGCCAAGTGACGATGATTGGACTGGCGTTTGAAGGCGACTATATTGCCACGGGGTTCGGCCATCATCTGGGCATGCCGCTGCTGCGCAAGCACTGGCGGCCGGACATGGACGAAGCCGAGGCGCGTACGTTACTGGAAGACTGTATGCGCGTGTGCTTGTACCGTGACTGCCGAACGATCAACCGCGTGCAGTTTGCCAAGGTCGCTGCAGATGGCGTGAGTATCCCGGAGCCTGTCAAGATCGACACGAAGTGGGACCACTCGCTGTTTGTCAAGACCAAGTCGGAGTTTGGAGCTTCGTGGTAGAGAAGCGCCAACGGATTGCCAAAACGCAGGTGAGGCTGACGAGCGAGGAAGACGAGAGAGGAGTAGCAGCGACGATCTGTGCTGCTGCCACGACCAGTTGGTCCTGTCGTGAGGACGCAGGGCGCTACTTCCACTCGCTTGTGTGCCGCGTGACGTCGGAGCAGCAACAAGGAGAGCTCGAGGTGCTACGAATGGGAAAAAAGCGAGAAAACCAACTAAACAATCTACCCGATGGCTGAATCTGAGTCTCTTATTCTCGTCGCACATGACAACGACAGCACCACTCGTTTATGCATTGTGCAGTCGCGCCATCTCGAAACAGACTCGTTGGCCATCATCGTCATCATCATCATCATCATCATCTTTCATCCTTGCGGCGACGCTTGACAGCACGTTTCCGACGCGAGCTACGGTCACTGCCTGACGGTGACGAAGAGCTCTCGCTCTCGCTACCAGACGAGTCGGAGCTGTCCGAGCTACTGGAGCTAGACGATCCAGATGGGCTACCCGAGCCAGACGAGCTATCCGAGCCAGACGATTCCGAGCCAGACGAGTCCGAGCTACTGCTGCTGCTACTGGTGCTGCTTACACTGGGCCTGCGCCTGCGTCGTGAGCTGCTCTTCTTCTTCTTTGTCATCTCGCCACTCGCTCGATCCTGGACCTTGCGCTTCAGCCTCTTGCTCTTGTCACCTGTCGGCGCTCCGCCCCCCTCCTGCTGCGCTTCAGGAGGTCTGTCCGTATTGAACCGCTGACGCAATTTCGGGTTCTTGAGCTGCTGAGACCGCGACGGCCGATGCACGTACACGGCCTCGTTCTTGCACTCGTAGGTCCAGTGGCCCGGTCGCAGACATTTCTGACACATGGCAGCGACACTGGAAGCCGAAGCTGCTGACGACGATGCCCCCAGGCCGCGACGATGCACACGCACTTGTTCAGTGCTGCTCGCGTACATGTTACGTCGCGCTTCCTTGCGCTGCGCCCATGTGCCCAGCGGCGCATCGCCATTCGCGTCGCCCATGTCAGCTCTAAATGTTTTCACGATGCGAAATGGACCATGTGGATTATTGACCAATAAGAAGACTGCAACTACTCTCCACGACACGGGACGATCGTTGGTGTCGTGAGCTACTTAAGCAAGGTGTGGGTCCGTGGCACGGCTGCAAATTGCTCATTCTTGCTCACTATCCCGGATTGCTTAGTTTTGATAGCATATAAAGCTCGGATACAGTATTGTACAGCATAACAACTACGAGCGCAGGAGCGTTGACACCGCAGCGTGAATGAACCAAATAACGATTGCGCGGTAGAAGAGCATCGAGTTACGACTCTACAATGCTATAAGGCCACGCCGTAGGAAGTGCTACAGAGCCGTAATTGAGGTGAAGTAAGGCAACATATTCAACCGAAATCCTGCCTTCATTGCTCTGCATCCATTGTCCGATCGATTCGCGGCGCGCGAACCTCAACTTCGTAACGAGAACAACATGAAGAACGTGACAAATGGTTAATGCCTGGTCTCGTTGCCTCGTGCTTTCTTCGTAGAGAAAGCAACAGACCAAAGACTCGTCGTCCAGTGCTGCGCCTGGGCACATTCGGCCATGACCGTAAGCTATGGACACATTCGAAGAATACAGCAACTCGATTCTGCAGCAGAGGCTAAGGAACTCGTCATGATGGCATGCTGCTGCTTTCTTCGGAAAGGGAAGCATACTTCGGCAATGTGATCAGTGTGTCCCAGGAGCACATTGATCCAGCTACGTGGGGAGCTCGGCTATCTGGTCAAGAGTGGTAGTATTGCTCCCCTCCTTCCCATCCATCTCTTGCAGGCGACAAGTGACAGCAGTTTCCTCGTTCTCGTCGTGACGACTCCGCCACCGTCTCTCTGTACTCTCCAGCCTGTCGTTTCCAATCTTTTTGACAACAGTCTCTGTCGATTTCATCTCTACCAACGAGCATCGGCAGCAGCGCAGGACGAGCAGTCGAAGGGTTGCTCTCGCATCAGCAAGCATGACATTGTGCTCGCACGAGAGTCGCAGAGTCATGTCCCAAGTCGCAGGAGGCAGATACGACATATGCCATGACGAGCTACAAGTGATACAGTGAGTCATCGAGCAGATGAACTACAAGCGATACAACGCATCCCTAGTTGCAGCGATCGAAAAACCTCATGCAACACCTGCATCGGTACCCCACGTGCGCAAAAGGAGTCGGTCAGATGACGACTCGACCTCTTTCTCCATCTCCCACAACGACCCGTGCAGAAGAATGGACCATCGTGTCGACAAGTACTCTTCGTGTCTGCGAAGTTGCGATCAAGAAGAAGAAGAAGAGAAGAAGAAGAAGAAGAAGAAGAAGAAGAAGAGATTCACAAGTCGAACGTCAATCATCATCATCATCATCGATAGCAGCCAAACGATCAACTTGCTACCGCTGTCCATTGCAAGACTGGAATACCACTCACGTTCTTCTCGCCCACGCCATGTGAGATTCGTCCATAGCACTGTGGTTGCTACCAGTTACCTGATCCAGATCGAATCGGGGGAGACTCACTCCGACAAGAGTGCGAAAGAGTCAGGTAAGATACGCACACCAGCGGAGACATTCGATCGCAAAGGACAATACGTTTTCGCATGCGATGGTCGAAACTGTAAGCAACATATCACATCTGGCTGAACTGGTGTCGAGGGCGTCGTCGGTGCGTATCCGCACGCTGCTCGCACTAGAACCCATCAACGAATATCGCTGTAACATCTGACAACCACGACCCGAGGCGGGGACCGGAACAAGGAGCTGATGTCGATGCCGACCTGGGGATAATAGACACTTTAAAGACACATTGTTGAGCTCTATGGACTCCGGTTAAAGAGCTACATGCCTCGTCTTCTAGCACACGACCTGCACCTTACGCTAGAGAGATAGCGCAATCTACGATGACAACTCGGACGCTGACGTTGTGGCCAAATGTTTTGATGTTTACCTGAACGATCGCACCTGTCTCCTCGATCCTTATCTCGTCTTGCAAGACGCAACCGTCTCCTCGATCCTTATCTCGTCTTGCAAGACGCAACTGTGTCGTCCTCAGGACATTTTTTGATGCGCTCGACCGATGAGATATCATCATTCGCCCTCGCTTGACATTCCCCGAACCTTCTTCCGCCTCTTCCGAGTCCATGGCGTCTCCGCAATACGTCAATAACGAACAGCGCTCTCTTTTTCCTCACAATCGCTGAGCGCGTCCGTCGGTCGCGCAGACCATTCGTCGACCTGCCGCTCCATTAACCGATCACGACCGCCACAATCGCATTTGCAGCAACACCGTTCCGTTCGCTCTCCTCTTCCTTTTTCCTCCTCCTCGACCTCCTGATCCCATTGCAATGCTTTCCCACGTACTGCACAGTGGACCTCGTCGCAGTCGCACGGGTTCTGCCGTCGGTGTTTCTCTAGGCAGACGTCTCGCGTCTTCGACCCATTCGTTGAGTGGGGAATTCGACTACATCATCGTGGGCGCCGGGACTGCTGGATGCGTACTTGCCAATCGACTTAGCGCCGAGCCGAGCAACAAAGTGCTGCTAGTAGAAGCCGGACCGAGTGACCGCCATCGATGGGACTCGTTCCTCCTCGAGATGCCCGCAGCCGTGTCAGTCAACTTGGCGGACGAGCGCTACAATTGGAAGTTCGCTACCGAACCGCAGCCGTTTCTGAACAATCGACGGATCGGGTTCCCTCGCGGTCGAGTCCTTGGAGGCTCCTCGTCAATCAATGCCATGGTATACAGTCGAGGGCATGCAAAGACCTACGACGCGTGGCAGGCCAACGGAGCTGCAGGCTGGAGCTATGCCGACTGCCTGCCGTATTTCAAGCGATCGCAGCAACATGAGCTGGGGGGAGACGCCTACCGCGGTGGCAACGGACCTCTGCACGTCGTGAGGAACACGCAGCCGGACCAGCCTTTGTTTCAAGCCTTCCTCGATGCAGCCATAGAGGCAGGGTACCCTTTCACGGACGACATGTGCGGCTACCAACAGGAAGGGGTCGGATGGCTCGATTTGACCATCAACAAGGGCAAGCGATGGAGCGTGTCGGCAGCGTTTCTTCATCCCGTCATGCACCGCACGAACTTGACAGTCGTAACGGACACTATGGTCAACAAAGTGGTCTTCGATGGCAAGAAGGCCATTGGCGTCGAAGTGGAGAACGCGAAGACCAAACTGGTGTCGAAGATCGCGGCCGCGAACGAAGTGATCCTCTCGGGCGGTGTCGTCCACTCGCCACAGCTGCTGATGCTTTCGGGTGTCGGCGATGCTGACCACCTGAAGGAAGTTGGCGTGCCGCTTGTGCACCATTTACCAGCCGTTGGGAAGAACATGGAGGACCACGTTGGCGCTAATGTGCAGTTCGCTTGCAAACAACCCATCACGATGTACAATGCATCCAAGTGGTACCCGCACCGAGTGGCAAAGATCGCGTACGAGTGGGTGACGGCAAAGACTGGTCCCGGCGCAAGTCCTCACTGCGAAGTCGGCGGGTTCATCCGAACGTACGTCGTCGAGCTCCCATCGTTTTTTTTCGGACATGACACCCACAGCAGCTAATACTGACCTCCTGTTACTTCTGTGCACAGCGACTCCAGCAAGCAGCAGCCGAACCTTCAGCTCATCTTCAGCGCCTGTGCTGTCGACGAGCACTGTCAGCTGCGCGAAGACATTGGCCATGCGATGACGGGGCACGTTTCGTCCATTTGCGGTTCCAGACATGGCACGATCCAGTTGCGCAGTGCTAACCCCCGTGAGCCTCCCGTTATTGATCCCAACTACATGGCCGACGAAGAATGCCGCGCTACGCTTCGAGAGGGCGTCAAGTTGACCCGTGCGATCTTTGCGCAAAAGGCGTTCGAGGCCTTCTGCGGCGCGGGGATCTCTCCTCGAGACGAAATTCGCTCGGACGAGGCGATCGACGCCTGGCTTCGTCAACACGCCGGGGCCGAGTACCACGCGTCGTGTACTGCTCGCATGGGCGTGGACGACAACTCGGTGGTGGATCTGCAAACTCGTGTCCACGGGCTCGCAGGCCTTCGCGTTGTGGACGCGTCGATCATGCCAAGCATCGTGAGTGGCAACACGAATGCGCCTGTGCTCATGATCGCCGAGAAGGCTTCGGACATGATCTTGGGCAGACCGGCACTGCCGCCAATGCACGTTCCTGTGCGTGGGCGATGACGCGCTCGTCTTGTCGATCAGACATGTACCGCCTTCGCACCAGAACGAGCTCATTGACCGATGAGGATACCTGCAGATACATGGGCCACGCCAACTCTTCTTCCGGTCACTCTTGTCCTCCTCGCCATTACCCCCACAAAGCTTCACCTCCATGGAGAGAGCCTCACTCAACTCGGTACTTAGTCTTCACCCGGGCTGCCAATAGATGGCAACTGGTAATACTAAGCTACACCCCTCTGCTCACCGTACGAACGATGCCGTGATCAGTAGCTTTCTTTGCGTGGGCAACTGCAGCAGCGAGGCTGCATCCAGTGCCTCGATCTACGTCATCCTATGCTGACCTTGCCAGAGAGTCAAACGTAGTGGCGGGTGGACCGCTATCGCTGCATCGACGATAGTCTGAGCAGTGTCAGGTACGTAAAGTGAGCTTCGGATGCCCGAGCGTCGTCGAAGACGGCCAACCCGCACGCCTTCGGTTCGGCTTTCGTGTCGACGACCAGCACCAACAACGTCAGTAGAGCCTCATTGACTTCTCAGGTACGACAAAGGGACCACTCCCTTCCAGTCGCACCCCGAACCAGTCCACGACCGCCGCCTCTCTATCTGCACACGATCGTCGAGATCCCCCCTCCTACGTGTATCTGTTGCTATGTCGCTACTGGGCATTGTGCACGTGTCCATAACACTATCGCTATCCGCCAACGCAGACGAGGGATTGTCGGTAGAGAGAAGTAGCAGTGGGCCATTACCACCTGCGGCAGGAAGAGCGACACAGTGTGAGGCAGTCGATCGACGCGAAGCCGAAATCGACTCGTGCGACTGCTATTCGATGCGACACAGCACACGATGGCCACTTATTGTATCGCAGAGTTCAACCGCTTCTGCGTTGTTGACAGGCGTCTGTTCCGTTGCCTCATGTTGTGGACCAGTTGTGGTGCACCTCGTAAAGACACCGGAGCTGGTCAACGTGTTAGTATTACTCCTGTACCTCCTCGACAAGAGCCCCACCCCACCTGACTGCAGATATCCTCTGATGACTGAGACCGCTAGTCGAGTAACGACCACTGCACTCGGCAGAGACTGTCGCAGTTGCAAACGGCTTAGGACAGTCACATCGGACGTCCGTCCAACTCGTCAGCTTCAGCGCCCGCGCCGCTTCCGCTGCGACACGTTCGTAGCACATCTCCGTTCCGTCCGTCGTCCCGCCCCCGCGTCCCGTTCGTAGCAGCTCTTCCTATCTGCTAACACTGTCGTTCCCGCGAGGTCCATCAAAGTGGACATCCACCGCAACGGAGGGGACGTTTGACCGACCGCCTGCGCGGCTCTGAGTCCCACCTGGAACGGCCCAACGCGCGCCCCATCCAAAACGCGTGACGACACTGTGACTCACACGCACTCAGAACCGGCAGAGCAACGGACGTCGCTCGTGCCACCGCCTGTTCCACCGCTGAAACGACACCACTTGACGCGGATCGACAATACGCAGCGGCGTCCCGTCCGATTTGCCGTCACGTGTTTCAAGCACTGCGCAGCCGCTCTGTAGCGTAGAGAGATGCGGTCTCGTTGTCGTCGTCGTCGTCGCTTTGTGGCGTCCCACGGGCTCGTCAGCAGCGCCCAGATGCTCGAGCGCAGGTCTGCCCCCTTCTCACTCCCGCCCGTCGTCCTCGAGCAGCTCTCTCGACCATTGCAAACCTGACCTGCTCGACGACAAGTGAGTCGACCGACCGACCGCCTCAACGAGTCAGTCGACTACTTACTACCTCCTCCTCCTCCTCCTCCTCCTCGTTATTGTTCTTTCCGGCATCACTCGACTGCTGTCATGCGTTCCTGGACGGCGGCACTGGTGCTCAGTGCACTACCGATCGGCACTGCAAACGCGGCCGACAAGTGCGCGAGCAACGTGCTCGTGCGGGCCTTCGAAGGGCTCCACGTGAACGCGTTGCTCGTGTCGTGCATGACGCAGCACAACTTTAGCGCTGCGCTCGACGGCTCGGTGGACCTCTCGGCCGCAGACGCGACGACAGCGCCCGCGCAGGTCCAGGCGATCTGCGCCTCGGACGCGTGCACGACTATCCTGTCGGCGCTCGTGGCCAGCGCGACCTTTAACCTCACGAACTGCATCGTCGGCGACAATGTCGTGCTCCGGACGGAGATCAGTAGCCTCCAGACCACGTGCCAGACGCTCTCGACGCCGTCTTCGCTGACGAAAGCTCTAGCAGCGGCCCCCAGTGCTGCCCCCGTCGAAGCTCCGGCGGCTGTACCTGCTGTCCCAACTGAGCCAGCGACTCCTGCTCCAGTCGTCTCGACCGAAGACGTGCAACAGGAGCAGCCGAAAGGAGAAGAAGAGCCAAAGCCGATTGCAGCGCTGAATGTGCGCGACGGCGCGAAGGTCGGACTTGAGTCGCCTAGTACCTACTGCGACCACTAGCGCACGAACTGCAGTGGCACATAGCGCACCGATTTCGGCCGACGAACGAACGAACGGACGAACGGACGGACGGACTGCTGTCTGTTGTTGTAGTTGCAGCATTTACGTGTTTTTGTTGCTTACGTGAGGATGGGACGTCGTTGGTTACGGTAATCGAGACGACGTTCCGTCGTGTTGCGGGTTTATCTATCGCTATCTTGGCGTTTGTGCGTGCCGCTTCGATCCGGCTCTGCGTTAGAGCGCGGTATGTGCGGCTCGTTTCTAAACGAATCGACCTCGTCGATCGACCCCGTGTCGAGAGTTGATCGATCGATCGATCAATTGAGCACTTTAGCCCTTTATTTCGCTCTATTTTGAATGTAACGGCGTGGGCGATTTGCATGCATTGGACCGCGTGAATCGCGCTATTTTTTTCGACGCTCTATTGTTTACGATCGCATGGAAGAAACGGTCGGGATCAAGCGGCCGCTCGAAGCCACACCAGTGGATATTGGCGTCGAACCAGGTGCGACCTGCTGCTACTCTACACTGTCAATCATCCAGTAGTAGTTTCTGACGCTTGCGGTGCGCTGCAGCGCCTAAATTGTCAAAGAAGCAGCGGCGGCAGCTCAAGCAGGTACATGCGTTTCTAACGAGTCGCCATTGTGTGTGGGTGCCGTGAGCTGATCCATCTCTATTTCTATCAGTCGCCAGCCCAGAGACTCGAGTATCACTTCCGAAGTCAAGTGGAGACATGCGCCCAGCAGAACGACGCGGCCCGAGTGCTGACAGTGTACGAGCAGATGAAGAGCGAGGGAGTGGGTGTGGCTGCGTACATCTACAACGTGATCATCAACTTGTGCAGTAAGGCCGAAGACGATATCGCGAGCTGCAAAGCGGGAGCTTGTAAGGTGTTTGAAGAGATGAAACGCGCTAGTGGCGCTGCAGAGCCGACGACGACGACGACGAAGAAGAAGAAGAAGGCTGTGGCCATTGGCGAACCCGTTTACAGTGCCATGATCAAGCTCTGCAGCAAAGCGAGCGACTTTGAGGCGTGTGAAGCGTTTGTTGCCGAGATGGAAGCAGCAAAAGTGGTGCCCAAGCTGCGCACGTTTGGTCCATTGCTGCGGGCTTACAGCGACGCTGGCGACCTGGAGAAGTGCACGTGGGTGCATGAGAAGCTGCGCTTGCATGATCTCGAGCCGACGGAAGACGACCATGTGGCACTGCTGCGCGTTTGTGTGAAGACGAGCCACGCGGAGCACTTTTACGCGTTCCTCGGTCGATTTGTGGACGAGATTTGGCAGCCGAGCCTGTCGACGTGGGACGTGTTGAAAGACTGGTTCAGCAGGTGCGCCGTGTGTGTTAGGTCACGAATAGGGCAGCATGTGGTTTTGCATCTCTTGACTCGTGACATGCTGCTGTGCTATTTTGTCATTGCAGTGAGGCGGCGCAGGTGGATGGTCGCAAGTGGACAATCACCGAGGGCGCAGTGAGCAAGCAGGGCGTGTGCTCTGTGACCAACAACCAGCTGCAGTCGCTCGAGCTATCACCTGAGCTCGAAGAGGCGCTGCTTGTCAAGGTGCGTAGAGTGATGATGATGGCTCCATCGAGAAGCCGAGCTAGGCGGTCCGTTTACGACCACGATCGAGCACTAGTCACCAAAAGCTGACCGCCAATGTACTCTACTACCTTTGGTCAGATTGAAAAGCTCGTGCGCACGGATGAGAAGCGCATAGCGCAATGGGACGACTTCAAGCAGTGGCTGGAGAAGTGTGGTCCGTTTGATGTGATCATTGACGCCGCCAACGTCGGTTATTGCAACCAGAACTTTCAGGGGTGAGTCGTGGGCGAATGCATTGAGCTGACGCTACACGTGTGTACTGCGATCGTCTAACGTAGCTTTTCGTTCTGACGGTTGACTTTCCCGACGCATCTCGATGCAACACTGGACTCGAACGTGTGTGTAACCCTTTAGCGGCGGCTTTGACTACCGACAAATCAAGCTCATGGTGCAGCACTACGAGGCCAAGGGCAAGAAGGTGCTCATTGTGCTGCACGCGCGTCGCATCTCAGACGAACAGGTGCCGGTCGAACACCGGGCGCAGATTGTCCAGTGGAGCGCAAGCCGCAAGATGTACAACTGCCAACCAGGCAACAACGACGACTGGTACTGGCTCTACGCGGCGGTCAAGCTCGGTAGACGTACGCTGTTGGTGACGAACGACGAGATGCGCGACCACCACTTTCAGATGATCCACAACCGCGCGTTCGGTCGCTGGAAGGAGCGGCACCAAGTTCGCTACCAAGTGCACGGGCGCCGGGTGACGGTGAACGAGCCGTTGCCGTACTCGGAACGACCGCAGCGCGTCGGCGACGTTTGGCATTTCCCAGCGCGTGATGGCATGACTCAAGACGTATCAGGCAGCGATCGACGCTGGTTGTGTGTCGCATTGCAGCAGACCGCATAGAAACACGCGGACCGCCACTACTGCGACGGACGCGTCGGACGCACAACAGGAGACGTCGTTCCGAGACGACGAGAGCTGTGCTGCTCAGTAGTGTCGCAAGTGTCAAAAGTACTTGCACGACTGTTGTGCGTCGCTCGCTTGTGGATCGTCTGTTGCTGCTGCTGCGTCCCTCGCTACACCCGAACCGATTGTGCGTTAACGAACTGTATTTGTGACCAGGTCGCAGGCACTGATGGCGGTGGGATACCCACTCGAGAGGGACAAGTGCACTTGTGCGAAGAAGACGAGCGGTTCCGATGCACTCGCAACTCGACACATCGGGCGGTGATTGCCTCGATCCATTCTTTGGCCCCACGTACGCCGTTTGTTGAGCACCTCTCGACGTCGATGTTGCAACCACTCGGCAATGGTTCGCTCGCCTCGCCCTGTCGTGCGCACGTGGCAACTTTGGCAGCGCGACATGAAAAGCTGAAGTTATTCCGCGCATGTCTGCGGCATTACACCCGCGGGCCGTCGCTGACACGACCGGTCGGGTCGTGTGCGACACACATCTGTCTGCGCGCCGTGTGGCCTGTGTGTGTGTGCGTGTGGGGGGGGGGGCACAGAAGAGCCGAAAAGGCGCGACCAAGTGGGTGCCCTGCCGCGACCCCATCCGCAGGCGGCCAAACGACCTGCGCGAAAAGTGGTACGCGGAGTGAGAGCGGCTACGAGGACACATGTAGTGCGCGCGGTCGGAAGAGGTCAACAAGTGCGGCTGCTCGTTGGTTTGTGCGCGTTTTCAGTCATAGATACGGACAAACTCCAGAGCTGTGGCGCCCACATGACGGGCAGCAGGAGATCGACCGACTGACCGACTGACCGACTGACTGACTGACTGACGAATTGACACCTGTCGAGGGAGGAAGCAAAGCGCTCCTGTCGATACGTGTGTACTGTGTCTGTCTGTATACATGCACACGTCTCTCTCCTCTCTCTCTCTCTCTCTCTCTCTCTCTCTCTCTCTCTCTCTCTCTCTCTCTCTCTCTCTCTCTCCGTCTGGCTCGTTGCCGCGTTCAGGCTGCGAATAAAGAGCGCTATTGGAACTCGCGTGGTAGGGGAAAAACAGCGCGTCGAAATACAGCGCCTCAGCTGCTGCTCACGCCCGCCGCACTCACGTCGCAGACACTTTGTCTGCTTGTCGTCCTTTTCTTGGCCCCGCCTCTATTTCTATTGCCGGAGGCGCATGGCGCGTCGGGATGGACTCGTTTCGCACCGATACAACCAGCAAGCGAAAAATCCGCTTTTTTTCGCTCGCGCCTGCGTGGGACTGCCTCTCTCTCTCTCCCTCTCTCTCTCTCTCTCTCTCTCTCTCTCTCTCTCTCTCTCTCTCTCTCTCTCTCTCTCTCTCTCTCTCTCTCTCTCTCTCTCTCTCTGGGACGGAGGGAACGACGGACAGGCCAGGCTTTTTCCCCAGGGCTGGCCCCATACTGGAACCAAGCTTAAAGTCCGTCGGCCACGCGGGGCGCCTGGTACCGCTTCTTCGCCCCGTCCATTGTCAGACTCCCACGTTCAGTCCGTCCGCTCGTCTGCCCCTCGTCACGCCCACAGACAGACAGACAGACCGCCCCCCACCCGCTCCGCTCGCTGCTTGTGGGACGGCACTCCGACCGCCCGAGCGCCTCCCGACAACTCCACTGCCGCCGCTCTCTCCTCCCACCGCTGCCGCTCCCCCCGTCTCTCTTCGCGCTATGGGCAACTCGTGCACACGCAACAGCGAAGTACGTGTCCCATTGACCGCAGCCACTGCAGCGAGCGACTCCCACAAGGGCCCGCGACCGATCGACCAATCGATCGCTCTCATTGGTCCTATTTGACTTGAGAGTGCAGCACCTCTAACGCTTGTCGTCCCCTCGCTCCGTGTGTCTGTCTCCATGTGTCTGTCTCCATGTGTCTGTCTCTCTGTGTGTGTGTGTGTGTGTGGAGTGCAGTCTCAAGTGGTGCTCACCGCCAACGGTGTGATCCTCCAGAACCGACAGCCGCCGGCCCAAGAACGCGGTCGGTGGTCCGCGCCCAACGCCGAGAGCGTCGACCTCGACACGCTCCTCGAAGCGCCGTCGCCCTCCAAGAAGAACGGGGCCCACCACCGTCGACGTAAAAAGTGCGTCCCCTCTCTCTCTCTCTCTGTCTCTCATTCTCTATGTGTGTCTCCATGTTGTTGTTGTTGTTATTGCGCTGCTCTTGTCGCTTGTCTTTCATACTAACAGCTGCTCTCTGATGTGCTGTTGCTGCTACATTTGCTGCTCTGTAGACGGCAATCGCTCTCGGAGCGGTTCCACGGCCCGCGTCACCACGCGGCGACTGCGGGTCGTCCGCCGCGCGCGCCGTCGCTCGATGAGCCTAATCCGCTGAACAGATCCCGAGCTCATCGCAGCCACACTGATGCGCGTCCTGTTGCCATGCTTCGTGAAGAAGTGACCCCAGTGTACCACTCGTACGAGGACCCGGGGTACCTGGGAGGGGGCGACCCGATCGAGCTCCAGCCGTTCGATGCCGACTGCATCCTTGGCAGTCCGATCAACTCGCCGTCCGTGATTCACGCGCGGTGGGGGGAACCTGTGGACGACCCGGACGAGGAAAACCTGTGCACCGACTTTACGCCGAACCCGTTCAAACTGGGCTTTTGTATCAACTGCATGAAGCAGCACGACGTCAAGGAGGACGGTGAAGTGGCGCTGAGGAAAGAGTATAAGCGCATTGCGCGCCCGACGATCTCGCGGACAGCGGCTAACGCGCTAGAGCAGCCGAGTGCCATTCCGATTGCGAGGAGCTCGATCACCATGATGTCTGAAGGTCGCGAGAGCGACATTGACTTGGCGCAGCTGTTGGCTCAGCGGAGAGACGTGTTGATGCGGCTGGATAAACTTGGCAAGCAGAAGACGAAACTTGAGAGGCAACAGGGTAAAGGCAACGGCACCATGGGACGCCGAGCAGGTGCGTTTGTGCGTCGTTGGAGACGGCGTGGCTGCATTGTCTAACGCTCTTTTTTTGCTGATGCTTTAGACCGGCACACAACGATCAATTTCGGAGACAACAACCCGCGCAACTCGTTGCGACGGATGGGCTCACGGCCACCGAAATCGGGTCCTATTGTTACGTACAGCACGTCCATCAACTTGGCGCCGCAGCCCGCCTCTGCGCGTCCATTTGGTGTGTCCAAGAGCGTGAACATGGTCTCACATCTGTATGACGACGAAGAGCCCGCGCAAAATGTATGGCTGTAGATAGAGAGAAGAAGCGCTGCGGCTGAGAGAGCCGCCTTTTGATCTATGAATCCACCGCTTGGGGCGCCGCGGACGAAAGCTGGTGCCCCCTGTACCAGTAGCTTGGTGTTGCAAGACGATGTGTGCAATTGACGAGTGCAGTCAAGAATAAGGATGCCGAGGATACGACTAGTCAGTGAGCGAGCGACAGGAGCTCGGAAGCCTCCGAGAAGAAGGAGAGAAGCAGCTTATCAGCTGACGCGACCTCATGAATGGCACCCTCAGCACGACGTGATTAATTATATAATATGAGCAGCCGTAGTATTACTCCATTGCCGTCCGTCGAGCACGTCGGCGACTATTGAGCGAAGAAGTCTCCATTTCCCGAAGCGTTTGGCGATGTGGATCCGACGGACGCATATGATGAGCTCGACGGTATGAAGCAGGGCAAAATGGATGACGGACAGTTGGCTCTGCTGCGCGATGTTGTACTGTGTTGATCGTTCGTTGGTGCTATCTGTCATGTCGATTGTTGGTGGTGGTTCAATGCAGATAGCTTAGTGGAGACCGTGAGCTACACACGCTGCACAGTGTCTCGAGCCATTGAACGATGTAGATTGAACTACGCTTCGAGTGACCAGCTGTACCCTCAAGACTTCACATCATGTGACGCCTTCAGATGCCATCATCCGAGCTACCAAACAGTCTGTGGTGTCGGCGAGCCGCGAATTGATCAGCCGACGGCCGATGCAGAAGGATACACATCACGCAACTCTTCGACCGTTTCGCACACGTCTTCGGACAGCGCTTTCGTCGCTCGAAAGCCTCCCGAACGTCGAGACGTGGCACATCGAAAGCACGACTGGGTACTGCAACTCCACGAGCGATCCAAAGTCGCATGGACCTCGTCAGCCCGTTGGTCTCATTGTTGCCCGTACGTGGCTCAAGCCGTCTTCCGCAGTCCAACTGCGTGCAACAGTTGGCTCTTCGCTTTGCAAAGCTGTGCAAAGACCGTATGCCTCACCCGTAAGCGACGTACGCGTGTGCCCTCGTCCATTAATCGTGTAAAAGCGCGATCCCTTCGTCTCCTTTGCGCTGCTGCTGTCGGAGCGACTGTCGCTATAGCAGTGCGCCACTGAGTCCGACGTGACCGACAATAAGGACACGACCGAACTTGTCCGACGTGTTGCTGGCCGACCGATCTGCACGCTACGTCGCGCACGGACTACATGTGCTGCTGCTCGATCCACTACCGGTAGGTCTCCATCAGTCGCGTCAACGCCCCGAGGTCGGTCGTCTGTCTGTCTGTCTGTCTGTCTGTCTCACGTTGCAGGGACAGGCACGAGCCGACGGTCGTTGAGGAAGGTGCGGTCGCCCGGCCCTTCTTGCTGCAAATCCTGTGGTCGTCGTCCACGACTGTTACAACGGCTTTGCAACGAGCAAAGCCACTCGTGGGACCTGTCCATACACTCTGCTGGTCGCACTTGTCCACTCTCTCCAGCGCCACCAGTTAGTTGTCTGTTTGAGGCGACCCACACGCGACTTATCGATCGCAAATACAGTGCGTCGCACGCTTTGCACCAAAGGTGTTGTTGGGCTCCTAGTGGTCTGTCTCGTCGGCCAAGCGGACTGGGCGAAGAGGGGGCGTGCCGTCCACAGATCTCTCGTGCCCAAGAGGCAGCTGTTCGGTTACGTGCTGGCGCGCCGTGGCCACTTGTCCGCCGCCATCTCACCATCGTCGAACGTCGCGCCGTCGGGCACAGGACACTCCCTCCCTCTCTATGGAAGTCCCGAACTTCAAGAGTTACTGCCCTGACGAGCACACACACAGTCAGGGGCTGAGCGTGTGCGTGGACTTTCTTGCCCCGAAGGTCTGTCCAGACGCCCGTCGCTTCGACACGTTGGGCACAACGAAGTGGCATTTGTGTATATGCCACTGACCCGTGTGGGTCGGTCGATCGGTCGATCGGTCGGTCGTCTTTGACGTACTACTGGAGAAGCCCAAACCATCTCACGACGCGGACACGGACGGACCGCCGAAGCTGATCCCCCGCGTGTCATATGTTGGAAGGAAGTGCAGCGCTCGCGAACTGCCGACCCCTTTGGCTGACTGACTGACTGACACGTGTGGCAGTGGCTTTTTGCAATGGATACCTGCAATGGCTGCAGAGGAGTCAACGAAAAGCTCGGCATGTTGGAGAGAGAGAGAGAGAGGCAGCGATCCGCGAGGATTGTACGGCTGTGCCACGCGACGGCTGATTGTGAGTCAGGGGGGCGCTGGTCTTCCGTTGCGATCCGCAAGATACGTACACTGCTCGCCCGATAGACTGCGCTCGATGGAGCGTAGCGCGACTACTACGTACTGCAGGAAGATCGGCCACGCACGTAGTGGTCATGATGACGCTCAAGTCGATCGACTGCTTTGGGTACAGGCAAACCAACTGTCGACATTCGCATAGTGAGTGTCTTGAGCTGTTGGTGCTGTGCCCGACGCTTGTACAGTGAAACACGGGCGAGAGTGACATGTCTCGTGGCGTTTGGTGGTGCTGCTGGACTTGCCACCGCACTGCCCTATTCTCTCCCGTGTCAACTCGCGATCGCAAGATCCAGATGGCTATTCTGGTCGTGCGCGATCAATGGTCGGGGGAACTGGGCCAACCTCTCTATCTCTTTCTCTCTTGCGCTATCTCTTGCGATATGGCAAATGCCTGCGAAACATCCAACCGCTATCGCGCGGCTCGTTCGAAACGCAAGTGGTTTAGAAACGAGCGTGCGCTATTTCGGAGACGCAACGATACGATACAGCAACTACGCTATCGTGATGCTCGCGAAGAAAGATCCGTAAACGCTCTCGATCGACCCCGTACCACGCACCGAAGGACCGCTCTTGGTCCAAAGCCAAAGCTTCCGCATATCTACTGCATCCATTCTTCGGCTGTATGCTACAGTGCCACTCACACCTTCTCAGCTCACATGTAAACTACATGTCGATTCTCGACCCCAACGCGCGTTGCAGCGGCCAATATCTTCTGCACGACAAAAGTGTCGTCGGTCTATCTCGACGCTTTGTGTGTGTGTGTCGAATCTTCCTCTCACTCACTGTGACTATCGTGCAAACGTGCACAAACAGTCAATCGCTTGTCTTCTTCTTCACGTCTCTCGAGCTTTCCCAGTCGTATCACACGAGTTGACTGTCGTGCAGCTTCAGACGATACAGATAGCAGCAGAACGACTTTTGCGGTGTGCATTACCTGCATATCAGTACGCTCGACGTCGTTGCACTTGTCAATAGACTGCTTTGCGTCTTGCGAAGTACCGTCTCGTGCGTGTCGTTGACGCACAATTGATCCAGTTCTGCTGTGCGTTGTTGTCTCGTGCACACACTCTGTGGCAATATGGCCATGTTGATGGACAACCTGACCAGTCGGTATCGTACCAGCGTCGACTAGTGAGAGCCCGTACGCACCACCACCAGTCGATCGCTTTCACTCGACCTGTTCTCCACTCGACTCAACCGTATGCCATCAAACGGGTCGCGCAGAAGCACACAACACTCGATGCAGTCAAAGTGAGTCAAGAACAATGACATTAAACGAGACACAACCTCTTCTCTCGCCTCACGACTACTGCATTTGCATCGCTGCAAGACACTACCAGTGCAGCGGCAGACCGACCCGAGCCAGACGAGAACGCAGCAGCGACATGGGCTTTTTTGTTGCCCGCATGGACAAAGACGGCATGGCAATGCCTGCGATGGATCGGCTACCCCGCCACCTGGCAACCGCCAACTCCTCCGTCAGTCTTGGCCTGACGATGGCAGCAGCTACTCACAAAAGACGCTGAAAGTCGGCAATAGCGCGATGGATGCCGGCCTCCTCGGTCTCCAATGCGGTCTTCTTCGCAGCATCCGCCTCACGCACGGTCGCCGGCACCTTCGATGCATAGTCGCCAGAGCTCATCTTCTTTGCCAAACTAGCAAGCGACGGCGCGATCTTCGTCAGCTTTGTCTCGAGCTTTTTGATCTCGTTGGCAAAGTCCACGAGACCAGCGAGCAGCACGAAAATCTGCACCTTATCGTTGACACTGTGCACCGCACATCCCTGCGGTGCCTCTTCGTCCACAATGCACTTCGAGTCGCCGGCCTTCGCGAGCGTCGCAAAGTCATCCAACTGCGCTTCCATCACCGCCTTCACGTCGGTGTCAATGCACTTGATAAAGAACTGCGGACGCACGTTGTTCGCGAGACCGTATTCGGCACGGACCGAACGGGCGGCGTGGATAACGTCCTTCACGAGCTCCATGTTCGCTTCGACACCCGCAGTCGTCCAGCCCTCCATAGATAGCGGGTACGATGCAATTGTGATACTCGCAGTCGGGCGTTTGCCCGGCAAGCGCTGCCACAGCTCTTCGGTCACAAACGGCATGCACGGGTGCAGCAGACGCAGCCCAAACTCCAGACACACGTACAACGTCTGCTGTGCCGTGAGCTTCGCGTCTGCATTGTCGCCAGCGATCACAGGCTTTGTGAGCTCGAGATACACGTCGCAGAGGTCGTACAGCCAGAACGTGTACAATGCGTTTGTCAGCTCGCCAAACTCGTACGCGGCGAACGAGTCGTTGCAGACCTTGATCGCGTGATTCAAGCGGCTCAAAATGTAGCGGTCACGGAGGCTCACCACTGCATTGGACAGCACCGTGTCAGCAACGTCTTCAGCAGCTGAAAACCCGCCTTCGAGGTTGGACATGGCAAACCGCACCGCGTTCCACAGCTTGTTGCAAAAGTTGCGGTAGCCAACGAGACGGCCAATGTCCAGGTTAATGTCGCGGCCCTGTTGCGTGTATGCCAGCAGACCGAAACGAAGCGCGTCTGCACCACACTCTGGAATACCCTGCGGGAAGTCCAGCTTCTGACCCTTCTTGGCCTTCTCGACCTCCTTTGCCGGCAGGTTCCCGTTCTCGAGCTTCTTACACAAGTCGTCGAGCGAGCATCCAGCAATGATTTCGAGCGGATCGACCACGTTGCCCAGGCTTTTCGACATTTTGCGGCCGTACTTGTCGCGCACCATCGAGTGCAGGTAAATCGTCTTGAACGGCAGCTTACCCGTCAGCTTCTGGCCCATGAACACCATACGCGCCACCCAGAAGAACAAAATGTCGTAGCCCGTCTCGAGGAGATCCGTCGGGTAGAAGTTCGCCACGTCGTCGGTCTTGTCCGGCCAGCCAAACACTGCAAACGGGAATAGACCGGCACTCACCCACGTGTCAAGCACATCCTCATCTTGCTCGAGCTCGAGCTGGTCCGCTGCTACACCGAGCTTTGTCGATGCCTTCTGCCGCGCGTCTTCCTCTGAAGTGCCCGCAAACCAGCGGTCGCTAGCATCGTCCGAGTTCTTGTCGACAAACGGCTCCCCCTTGACGCGAGCAAAGTAAGCTGGGATGCGGTGACCCCACCACAGCTGACGCGAGATGCACCAGTCCCGGATATTCTCCAGCCAGCGGAACCACGTCTTCTCGTGCGACTCAGGCAGAATCGTCAGCTCTTTGTTCGTGACAGCAGCCATTGCATCCTTCGCCATCTGATCGCAGTTGACAAACCACTGCGGCTTCACAAGGGGTTCGATGACATCGCCTGAGCGCGAGCACACACCGAGACGCATCTTGTTGTCGACTTTGCCATGATACAGTCCTTTGGCATCGAGCGCCTTCTCGACGGCAATACGCGCGTCGTACCGCATCATGCCAGCAAACTCGCCCCCGTTCTCGTTGATCGCACCATCGTCCGTGAGCACGTTGATGAACTCGAGGTCGTTCCTCTTGCCACACTCGTAGTCGTTCGGGTCATGGGCCGGTGTGATCTTCACAGCTCCGGTACCAAACGTCATGTCCACTAGGATCGGGTCCAGCACGATCGGAATGCGACGGCCATTGAACGGGTGGACCACAAACTTCCCGTGCAAGTGCTTGTACCGCGGATCTTCAGGGTGCACGGCTACACCCGAGTCGCCCAGCATCGTCTCCAATCGCGTTGTCGCTACGATCACCTGCTCGTCGGGTGATCCCTCCACCTGGTAGCCAAACGACGTGAGCACGCCAAACTCGTACTTGCGGTCACTATTGTGCCCCGGGACAGCCATCTTGGTGCGCTTGTCAATGTCAATGTAGTCCACCTCGATCTCCGACAGCGCGGTCTTGAGCTTGCAGCTCCAGTTGATCATCCGCGTGGCGCGGTACACCAGTCCGTCTTCCCACAACTGGCAAAACGCGTGCCGCACGGCCCGACTGCACTTGTCGTCCATGGAAAAGTACTGACGGTCCCAGTCGACCGAGCAGCCGACGCTGCGAAACTGGTGGTGGATGCGGCTCTCGTACTGGTTCTTCCAGTCCCACACGCGCTCGAGGAACGCGTCGCGGCCGACGTCGTGGCGGCTCTTGCCCTCTTCGCGCAGCAGCCGCTTCTCGACGACCGACTGCGTGGCAATGCCCGCGTGGTCCGTGCCCGGCACCCACAACGTGGCGTGGCCCAACATGCGGTGCCAGCGCGTGAGGGCGTCCTGGATCGCGACGGTCAGCGCGTGGCCCAAGTGGAGCGACCCCGTGACGTTCGGGGGCGGAATGACCATCACAAAGCGCTCGGCCGCCGTCCGGATCCGGTCGTCCGAGCACGTGAAAAAGCCCGAAGCTTCCCACCAGTCCTGCCACGCCGCCTCGACCGCCACGGGCTGATACGCAGCGCGCATGGGCTCCGCCTGCACGTCCTTCTTCTGTCCTTTGGGCGTCACGTTGACAAACGGCGCACTACCTGTCGACGTCGCCGTTGCCGACTTGCGCGTCTTTTTCGAGTCGCTCTTGGGCGCCCAGCGATTCGGGTCTTTGTCTTTCTTGGGCTTCGCAGTCGCAGTCGCAGTGGCCCCACTGGCGGCGGCACGCAGGGCCTTCTTCATGGCATTTTTGCTCAGACGCGGCGGCTCAGGGGCGTCGCGCGGCGAAGCTCCGGTGGCGTCGGCCATGACGGGGAATCACTCACTCGAGCCGCGGAAATGACTGGTTGACAGGCGCTTGGCCGCCCAGACTGTGAAACGGCATATTGCGGGCGCCGCTAGGTGCGGTATGTATGTCGGCCGATGACTGGGGCGGACAATTATTGGCGGTTATTGTGGTTGCGATCGCATCGTGAAGGAAGTTTAGAAACGTGTTTGTTCTGTCGTGTGGATAGGGGAGGGGGGGGGGTCGGAATACAGTCACGCCAGTGACGTCGACACGGGTCGAATGGAGCGATTCGAGCGTGGTTTCGACTCGCTATGTTACTCGCTCGCTAGCTACGCGCTGCTGCTGCTGCTTGCCACTCGGGCTCCTCGTTGTGTGACGTGCTAGCGAGTTCCATCATCTACTGTCTAGCGAATAATAGCAAAAAGCGTCGGCATCGTCTTGAAAGACTTGGCTACTTTCTTCAGCTACTTTAATCATCGGAACTCGCGCGATCGTCGCACCCACAACCACACTGTATCTCCATCTATCGCTCTCTCTCTTTCGCTCTATCTCTCTTCCTCTATCTCTCTTCCTCTATCTGCTGCTGCTGCTTTTGTTGAATGACGACCATCGCCACGAGTGTTGCGTCAACCAAACGACAGCTGACGACCAATCAAAGTCGACGGCAGAGGTCACGCCCCTGTTCGATTCCCATCAACGATGTCATCCATCCTCGTCCGAGATGAACGGCGTTCTTGCCGTGTATACACACTCACGCACGCCCGCATCTTTCTCTTACTTAAGTAGCTCTGCAATGCAAACCATCCTACGTCTCTCTCTCTCTCTCTCTCTCTCGACGGGCAAAGACAGAGCTTCCGATCTCAGGACCGCTCAGGTTGGCAACAATATCAAGCAGCAACAAAGTCGACCGACGTCGTTTACTGCAGAGCACCCCTTTAACATGGTACTCCCGATATTTATCATTGGCACGGCAAGTGCGGGCGTGGCCACTGGCTACAGTATGTACTGGGCGGGCACAGCACTCGCGTGTCCGTCGTCGATCCGTAACCCCCCACCCAAAAGCACGAGCAGCCTCCTGGCTGGCGGAGGCTCTGCCCTAGCGGCATACTCAATCCAAGTGCGAGCTCTCAACCGCTACGTATCAAGTGCATTGACGTACGAAGTTCCCAAGAACGTGACGGCCTGGAGCTTTCGCGACTTTCTGCGCATCGCTGGACCGGTCGTGGCTCCTCGTGTCGCTATGTTTTCGACGTCCGCGGCGCTGATGGGGTTTGTATCCACTAAGCTGGATCTGTCCCGATCCCCCGAAGAGAAGCGGCGGTCCGAAACAGCATAACGGAAGAGGTTGGGGAGACGGCTGCAGCCTGCTCAATGCTGTTTCCGATCTCCAAGTCCCATGTCCGTCATCGCGGTCTTTAGTATAACAACAGACCAACATGAAGCATACACGTCTTTTGTACTCGACATGTGTCGCCCGGGCCAACACGGCTATGTGTTCCGATACCTGTAGTAACACGAAGTGTCTGTATGCGATGATGCGTGACATCCCGCCGTGTCCTGGTGTTGTCAACGGTTTACACGCAGCTACGTTCGCGAAAGCCCAAAAGGTCGTAAGTCACATGAATCCTCGGAACGCCATGTTCGCTACGTTTTGCGGTCCATGCTCGTATCCTTGTTTTTCCGTTCTAGACTTCCGACAGCGTTACTGAAGTGAACGCTTACGTGCGAAAATCTCGTGATCGACGCGACATTTTGTCGACTGGTAGTCAGTCGCTCGCGCAGCTTCGATCTGACTGCGAACGAAACGCTCGCATTCATTAGTGACGCCAACTTCTTTTGCTCAGATGTCGTCGGTAGAGCTCCGTGGCCGACATGTGAATACTACCCCGCGACCAGAAATCCACGACATGTCGCCCTGTTGTTACCGGCAGACGTTCCCAGCGACCTGCTGCTATGCCTCGTCCCTTCTACTGCGCTGAAAAGGGAGGATCAAACAGTGACATGTGCTCGACGCCATGCGCCATGCGCCAGAACTCATCGAAGGTGGTCGAGAAACGAGAGAGCAGGTCGACGTCGTGTCAGTGTCCGTAGCACCTCTTCTCTACGACTGTGACCCTGAACTTGCTTTTGGTCGCATATGAAGTCAGTCGGTCTGAGTATGAGGAGACGTAGGAGTGAGCAAAACAAACTGCTGCGACGTTCAGCGCACCCATAGCTGATCGATGTATCAATGCTCCGACATGAGGTCCACGAACTAGTGCACTATTACGTCGTCCCCCAGCGCTGTATACTTACTACCTTTATGAATTTCAACATCAGCCGCTCTTCTATTTCCGCAGATCTGGCCAGCCCAAGACACAAAATCACGCCCACGTCACCGACTGTCAAAATCACGCCCACGTCACCGACTGTCAAAATCACGCCCACGTCACCGACTGTCAAAATCACGCCCACGTCACCGACTGTCAAAATCGCTGGCGAAATACAGACAGTCACACGGAACCTCGACGTGCCATGGGAAAGCATGACTTCTTGACGCCCAAAGCCATCGGCATCCGCATGAAGGTACGTCGTCGTTGCTCTGCTGTCAAGCCGTACCCTCTTTGCAGTCTGCTTCTAGTCTGTTGTCATACGACGACCGTCTCAGTTCACGTATACATCCGTCGTCTGCAAGCCACCACAATTGTTGACACTCTCACTGTCTGCCCTTTGCGCTGCTTTTTTGACAAGACCAGGCCAAAGGGCTCCAGAAACTCCGCTGGTTCTGTCAAGTGTGTCAAAAACAGTGTCGCGATGAAAATGGCTTCAAGTGCCACACACTTTCCGAAGCGCACCAACGTCAGATGCTGATCGTGGCCAACGACCCGGACAAGTTCATGAGTGGCTACAGCGAACTCTTTGAAGACGCGTTTCTCGAGAACCTCCGACGACGTCACGGGACCAAACGCATGCGCGCCACGCACGTGTACAATGAGTACATTGCCGACAAGCTGCACGTCCACATGAACGCGACCCAGTGGGAGACGCTCGGCAGCTTTGTGCAGTACTTGGGGCGCACGGGCAAATGCGTTGTCGATGAGACGGAGAAAGGGTGGCACATTCAGTACATTGACCGCGACCCCAAGGCGATTGCGCGGCAGGAGGAGCTCGAGAAGAAGAAGAAGGCGGATCTGGACCATGAAGAGCGGAACCGACTGTTTCTCGAGCGTCAGCTCAAGATTGCGAGTGGAAACGAAAAGAGTGAGTCGACACAGCAGCCGACCAAGCTGCAGCGCGGAGAGAATGGCGAGAAGATCAAGATGGCTATCGTAGCTGCAAAGAAAGACCGTGGGAGGAAGGACAGTGGAGCGTTGGATGCAGGGAAGACTGTGGCATTTGGCGTAGCAGGTGCGAACGCGTTTTGCACAAGGGGTACGAAAGTGGGCGAAAAGACACGAGAGACCCGGAAGACAGCGTTGGCGGGCGACAATCGGTCCAGCAAACAGAATGCAGTAGACTCGATTATGGAGGAAGACGAGCGACGCAGGAGAGGCAGAAGTCGACGGTTGGAAGAGGAGACGAAGCGTCAGCGAAAAGAGAACTGGGTGACTGCCGGGATCGTGGTCAAGGTGACGAACAAAAAGGTTGGCGATGGCCGGTATTACAAGCGCAAAGGAGTTGTGAAGGACGTGGAAGATGAGTTTTGTGCCACTGTGGAGATGCTGGATTCTCGCGACGTGTTGCGACTGGATCAAGACGATCTCGAGACGGTCATCCCGAAACTCGGACGCAAAGTCAAGATTGTCAACGGACTCGGACGTGGATGCACAGCAAAGTTGCTGGACATTTCGGTCAGCGACTTTAGTGCTCGCATTCGAATCGACTCGGGATCATATCGGGGCGAGACCCTGGATCGAGTTGAGTACGAAGACATTTGTAGACTTGTAGATGAGTAATCTACGGCACGGTCGGGAGATGCAGCTGATGGTGATTGCGATGCTGCTGATGCTGTAGCACGAACGAAGATTTGCTGGTCGACGCGCGCTTATAGAAGTTGGTCGGTCGGTCATGACGGAAGCAAAGGCTTTGCCTTCGTTCTAAATCGATTGTCCATTCAACACTGAAAGTGGCGCACGATAACGACGTAGTAGCATTGGCTCTCCTGCATATATTCATAGACACGCGGTCTATTGCCTGCTGTTTCGCGTGGTCTGCAGGCCAACGCACACAGCTGTCAGCGAAGTCGTTCAAATCAGCGGGCGAATCATAGAGACGATGGCAACCGGTCTGCATATCCATTCATTCGTTCATCCGCCCATCCATCAGCTCATTTTGTCAACAACACCGCCACTGGTACGTCCACGCAGTTCACGCACCCTCTTCACCTTGCATGACGTCATCCTTGCTTTCCACGTCCTCTTCCATCTCCTCGTCCTCCTGCTGCTCGTCGTCGTCCTTCTCCTCTTCCGCCCTATCTTCGCTCATCGTCGCCTGCAAGTTCTGGATCGTGTTCATCAACAGTGCAAACTGTTTCGTGCGCAAGTCGAGCTGCTTATCCACTGCCTCGATCTCCGTCGTAGCTTCCTCGAGTCGCTTCTTCTCGTGCTCAATCTCCGCCGTGACCTCCCTCCGCGACGGCAGCTCATTGACCACGCGGGCAATCGACTCGTACTCTTCCTTGTACGCCCGTATCCGCTTCTCGACAAACACACTCTTCTTGAGCTCTTCAATGTCCTTCGTCACTTTGCGAATCGACGTGTCGATCTCGGCATTCAGCGTCTCGTACTCCTCGAGCTCGCGGTCGCACGTGTACGTCCAGATCTCTGTCTTGTTGGCCTCAAACTCCAGCTGAGCCATCTCCCAGAACAGCGCGTCCAGCTCTTGCTTGCATGTCACAGCGTCCACGGACTCGTCCAGTAGAATATCCACCAGCGTCAAAATTGTTTCGGTGCATTTCTTGAACCCCAACTGGCCCACAGTGCTCGTGCGGGTAAGCAAACGGCGCCGGATCACGGCATCTGAATCGACACAAGAGAGAGAGAGAGTGTGTGTGTGTGCATACAGAAAAGACAGCATTAGAGTTTCGATAGCGTGAGTGGGCCGCTGGGCCGCGACACGTAGATGGAAAGACCCGCACCGTCGTCTGCCATTGTCCTCCGTGACGTGATGTGACGCGGTCGAAAATGGCTGAAGAAGTCCGGATTGTGCGATATTATCGCGCGAATAAGCGACGCGGACTTTGACAGAGGACGAGTTCTTGACAGCGTTTCTAAAGCTGTTTGCTTGGCAACGGGCCGCACCACAGAAACTGTCCCTCTTTCATTGTTGACACTGCTGACATACTCGATCCGGAAAACCAAAGCATCGGACTATTTCGATCATGTTTTGATTCGCTTTCTAGAATTTAGTCAGTCCTGAATCGAGTCAGTAATGAACGACCACATGCAACTTTTGCGTTAAAGCCTTCGCCCACCCGCATAGCTGTGACAGGGGACAGGGTCTCTTGCCGTCCAAAGTGTCACGAGCTACTTCCTGCTACGACATCCCGAACGGCTCCTGCTTTGCCCAAGACGAGTCAAAGCACCAGCTGTGCTCGATAGAACTTACACGTTCGTAATGCCTACCCGAGCACCAATGAGGTAGGAGACCAGACAACGTCCGCACCTCGAAAGTGTCGAAGTCTGCGGCCAAAATACTAGTAAAACATGCCTGGTGTATCTTGAACCCGCTTGACAACGCCTGCAGACCGGCCGACGCGTTATGCTCGTGTTAATCTAAGATGACCTCGTGTTTTCCACAAAATATGGACGTGAATCGTAAGCAACCTGACGGTTTAGAGCTTGTACAACAACGTCGCTGACGTCAGGGTCATGCATTACCACCAAAGGTTCCCTGAGCTCTTTCGCAAGCCGAAATGGTCGTGGAGCGTCGACCAAAAGCCTACTGTCGAAGGAGGCGACGAGCACGAGTGTGGGCAGCACGATGAAGATGCCACAGTGAAGAACAAGCCACCTGATGTGAAAACATTGCTGATCGTTTCAGTCTAAGCGTAGACTGATGCGGCATCTGGATCGTTTACAAGGGTTACGAAGAGGGCAACTACTTTCGCCCGGGTGTTTTGTATGAGCTCATGAAAAGTGCGTATGTCAAAACAGCACGTGTAATCGAACGGTGTGCTTGGATTGTTGATAAAAACACCTGCAACAGCTAGCAAAGATATCAATAACCCTTCGCAGCATTCCTGTCGAAACCAGCGCCCGCATTGTCTCAACTTGTACATTTTGTTGATGCTGGTAATATCCCGTGCATGGAGGCTAGTGTTGAGACTACAGGAGCTAGATGCGTCTCTTTGGCTAGGGCAGATCCATCCACTTCGTGCATGAAGGTTCCTATGCACGTGTTCGCAAGTTCACAAACTGTTTATGAAGTCAACTGATAATTGCTTCAGCTATGGCTTCCACGACAAAATCTATCTATCTGGAAGGCTGATGAGCAACGAGTGGCGCAATGAAGTTGAGTTTTGAATCTGCGGAGACCTCTATGGAGAAGACGGCGGAAGCTCGTATCACTCGGTATCGTCGGTGTTGCTATCTATAACAGAAAGAGCACGAAACGGCCCTGCTAAAAACATGGCCTGTATCCTCCTCTTGCAGAGGCTAAAAGTTTGGGCGGCGCCGCGTTGAACCTAGTACATGCAACATCAAGTTTTTGTATCGTACTGATCGTTTGTGCACATGGATAACGCATGGATCGTTAAACCAAACGAGAAGGTGAGGCGTATTCAAGTACACGGGCAACCCACCATAACCTGTCTAGCGGCAATCAAAGTTTACCGTACTGACATCCACGTAACAACCCTACGCAAGTATGAGGCCTCAGGCAGCCGTGCTGCGCTGGCGCGGGATCGTTTCAAGACAGAAAGGCTTTTCGCGGTACATGCGGATCTATACCAATAGGAATGCTCGTTCAATGATGTCTTGGATCATATTTTACGTCGTGGTCGAAGAGAGTCGCAATCGCCCTGACGACACTGCGATCCGATGGTGGCGGCACTTGAACGGAAGCAAGCGTGTTCGATGAGACGTTGGTCGTGCAATCCGCCATCTTGTTGTAGTCACAGTAGTGATGACCCCCGCAGGTGACGGAGATCGGGTCGGCTAGCGATCTCTACTCTCAGTACAGCAGTGCCAAGTAAGCCTTGTGTGGGCACTGGTGGGTTCGGAGCTAGAAGAAGACGGGAGAATTGCCCCAGCGACATGCATTGTAGCGTGGTGAAGTGAAAGTTTCGTAATGAGCTAGATATCTATGCACAGTGGTGGTCCGTCCGATCGCTCCAATCTGACAATGTGGATATGAACCTGACGTAATGTAGGCCGCTCTGAATGGTGGAGGTATATAGAGAAGTCGGAAGTTCGATGGAAGGTGCAAACATGAACAGCCAAATCGTGAGTGTGGATAATCACACATGGATACCTGATCGGAGCAACGAGTCCTTGCATTGATATATTGGTTTGTTCAGGTAGTTTGTCTACATTCGATCGATCTGTAATGTGCGGGTATGGAAGTACGAGGTAGGTCACGTCCTCGCACCTACCTTTCCTGTTCAACAATAATGGGAGCTTCATACATCGACGGATGTGTGATGAGGTGCTTGATGATACCGCTAGAGTTTAGATCAAAGCAGTCAGTGATAGACGTGCAATCTGATGTCGTAAAGTCCTTTGATGTTTGGTCACATATCAGGTATTCGGTCCACATTGGTACTGGAGTGCAAGCCGCGAGTGTTCGGCATGTGTTTCATGAGCGCGTGAGCGGTTCAATATCAGTAGTACCATTATCCATGTTGGCTTGGAAAGCATTCTGCAGTGACGGAAATGCAAAGTCATAGTTCCGAGACTACTTTAAATGGTGTGAAGAAGAGTTTGATATCATCCCTTTGGCGATCGACACATTGCTTCCACTTCTGGTCTGGAACGTAGCCTCCGATGACCGAAACCCCGCGTGTCTCACGACTATCAGAATTGCTTCTATCAAGACTTCAAAAGCACTGTAAGCGTGGATTAATTTACTACATTTGGCAATGACTTTCAACACAAGTACTCGTACTGCGATTGAATTCAGATAGCAGAAGAAACGGACTGGAACTTCGAAATTGCGAGACGGCTTAAGTGGTCAAAAGAGCGAGACAATGTAAAAGAGGAAAGGAGGGTCAATCTCACATCGCATTGCGATACCTGACAAGGTCGATGCAATTCGTAGAGATGATCGGAGTCCGAGATATAAGTGATCTGCAAGAAAAATCACAGACAATTCTCAGATTACATTGTGATCCCCTGGCGAGATTAGAGCGATATACAAGGTATGCGCCTTACGAGAGCTCAGATTGTTGTACGAAGATTTTTGTGCAGCTGCCAGCAAGCAAACCCCAACACTAAGTGATATCAAATCTTTTTAGGCCGATGCAAAGCATAAGCTACCCAAACCGATGAGCACAGATTTGCAAGGTACCATCCGTTCTGTATGTCGACAAGTCTTGGTAACATGAAGGATCGCCGATCGCATCTGCAATTTTGGTGATGGCGAAGCTCTCAGCATAAAACACATTTGAGTAGCAATGCTCCGAATTTTAAATGCAAATATGTGATCTGTTTGTCTTCGACTATGCGTAAGAGCAACACATCGCCTTGTAGATCGAGGACTAAGCTTCATCAAAAGCGAATGCCTCAATTCATCCACATTCGTGCGGTATATCATGGGATCGTACCAGTGATAGCGTCTTGCAACAACTTCGGATGCATGTCTCGTTGCAAGGCATTGATTAATATCAGAACACGATGTCTTTGATCAACACTCGTGAACCTCCCGTCTTTATCAACCATGCCTGGTCGAGCAAAGTCACTGCACGTGTTCTAAGTGCTGATGAATCTCCGTCTACCTTGACACTCTTCAACAGCATTACAAAATGAATGTGAGCTCTGCAGTGTACCAAAAAACACGGTGGCATGACACTCTGTAGTAACATCACTTTCTACAAATAGTGCTATCCTCGTACTACTCAAAAGGCACCCTAACCGCATTCGAAGCGCTATAGATATGTATTGCAACTTGGCATCATTGAGCGATCGCACTCTACGAAAGTTGTTGCATCTATCGATTGTTACTGCGTCATTCCTGTAGTAGGACATGACAAGAATGAAAAACCACTTGTGATCGAATCGCTCTGCTAATAACGAAGATCTTGATAGCATCCGTCAGTATAGGAGACATGGGAGACGACGCAGTATGACAGTCCACAAAAACAATCTACGGGTCCGGTAAGCACGCGGCATCATAAAGTCTTCGCATATATCTACGAGAATGCCTGAAACATCAGTTTTAGTCTTCGACTACTCTTCGACTATTCTTCGACTGTCTCAAGACGTCTGATGGAAAAATCTATAATAGCCACACGTTTGATGTATTCGTCTGCATTAAAATAAGGAAATGGGGTTGCGAAGTATTCCACCGTCGGGAGTTCACCGGATGATGTACAAACGCGCGATATGGCTAAACAAAGAGTAGAAGTGTTGTAGGTAAAAGCCAGTGTATTGTTCTGCTGCATATATAGGCAAGTGTACTGGTCGCGACAGGCAGATGTACAACTTGAGGTATGAACGCGTAGACTAAACCTTGACTCAACGAAGAGCAAAACGATTGTACTATGATGTAGATTCTCTTACCATTACCGGCGCGTAACGCAGAAAAATGGCCTGGCGATCATCCAGCATGTTACAAATCAAAGCTATTTGTTTAGTGTATTGATCCAGGCTGGAAATGTCGATGCACAACAAAAACAATGGGGAAACGCAGTGGATGAAATATTTAGAGCTGTCGAAAGACTTATTAAGCTCTGCTATGATGTAACGGAGATACACAGCTCCTTTAGTCAGAGGAAGACTTAACGCTCTTACGAGCAACTTTGGTTCTACGAACCCGACTCAAAGAGTCAACATCTCCGAGAGCTAAAAGGTGGTTCTACGAACCCGACTCAAAGAGTCAACAGGCTCAAGGAGCTTACGGTCCCTGTTCCAGGGGGACCAAACGATTCAAAGAATCAATCGCACTAAGTGCACAAGGAGTAGCTGCCTTAGCAAGGCGTTGCTACTTCCTT